GGAATCTAAATCACTCTATTGACATAACAAAAATGCATCAGTGACTGCGTGTAGTGTAGTTCTAGATAATATGATAAATGACTAATTGATGAATTATGACACTAATGTTATCTCTATGCACACGTCTTATCTCGAATCTTTTCACTTTCCAGCTCACTCTATCTAATCTAATATTTAAAGAAACCTTGTAACTTCTTATTCTAGTCTTCCGACTGATGATGTTCTTCCCTTTCCATTTTATTTTTCGTTTGGCCTTTATTTCCTCATGGATGTTCTGTCCCCTTTTCATCATTTCTCCAGTTTTTTTATATTGCTGAAAAAACACTGATACATGGAGAGAAATATTCAATATAAATTACCAATCTTTCCACAATTTCCGAGAAATTTCATGAAATTTTTTCAGTGTTTTGTAATTTTTTTTTGTATAATTAAAAAATTACGATTCCGCTACAGAAATTTCATTTATAATTTCCGTAATCGATAAGCGAATCCAAGGGCAGTTATTTCTATTGAATATTTATCTGCATGTCGAAATGATATGAAAAATGTACCGTTTTGGCGAGTCCTCAAAATTGCAGAATACAATCACCAGAATTCGCTGATTTCCTATTTATTTTTGAGGAAAAACGTTTCAAATTCAAAAAAAATGACAGTTTTGCGAAGAGCCAGTAAAATAATTGCAATGCTGAAATGTCACCGGCTGTTAAACAAAAAAAAAATTATATAAACGGTACATTTCCTCTCGTCAAGAGAGACAGAACATTCCGAACTTCAACATGCGATGAACGATTGCATGACAGAGAGCCATATGCACGTAAATTTTCAATACCCGATGAATTCAATCCGCCAATTATTTGACAACTGTCAATATATATTATATTTACATTTTATTAATAACGAGACAAAGAGTTTAATTGAATTATTACGGAGGGTTTGATTATCGTGCAGATGGCCTTTTATTGCATCAACTTCTCACAGTTTTTTTAATATATTAATTGATTCCCATCCCCGGAACCAAGGAAATTACTATCGAGAGCTGTATTTTTCATTTAAATTGCATTTTTAATTAATTTTTCGGGTTTTACAGAGACAACCTATTGTCCTGATGGTCAGGCAGCTTGTGCCAATGGTATCTGCATTCCAAAACAATTCTTCTGCGATAGAAATCAGGATTGCCTTGATGGCAGTGATGAGAAAGATTGTCGTAAGTGTTTCCCCTTTATTTTCCAACTAAAAATATTTTTTTCCTCATTTTATCTTCTAACGCTAATAAAAAATATGATTTGACATTTTTCGTTGATTGATTTCATGAACACTTTGAAATACTGATGTCATATCTAAATACCACTGGAAGTAATATTAAATATAAAACCATTAGCCTGAATATTACGTAAAAATACGATTCGTTCTAATATTATAATATAATAAATTGGGAAATACGTTGAAA